CCTAGATTCTCCCCAATTTGGAGGAGATAAAATGCCTTGTTGTCCCATTTCAATAGAAGTCGTGAAAGAACCTGTCCTTTTTAGTTGCCATAGTGACACATCTTCCGATGTGGTCGGGGAGCTGGATTCTTAGCTCTGAGTGGTTAATTCCAACTTCTTGTTGCTGCTTCATGTTGCTTTTCTTCCTCACTATTGAAACAATAAGCTGTGGAGGATTCTTGCAACAATCTAGGAGGATTGAGTAAAGTTTAGAGGTGCAGTGAGTTTCGTATGAGGGTGATTCGTGGCCTGTCTAACATAGAAAAATATCATTTGGTGATTAAGTAAAGTGTTTCCAAGTTGTTATACTTTGCGTAGCAGACAATGTCATCTCTTTGGGATTGCTTCTGTAGGTAAGCCATGGGGGAAATCTGATTCTAGTATGATTTTGCTGCCAAGTTTGGACAATACTGATAAGATTCCGGTTGATGCGAACTAAAGAGAAACAGAAGTTGTGCGTGAGTTGCGTTTTCTGTTGTTCCGTATTTTCCACTAGGATCAATTAGGTGGCGACAAAAGTGAATGATAGGTAACTGGCATGGCTGATCCCTTGGTGTGGTCATTTACATGCTATATCTTTTCAACCGTGATTGGTCCTCTCGGCTGGGAAATTTTGTCAGGTTCATGGAGATTGAACATTGAAGTGAACTAGTCTCAGTTGCTCTTCTGCCCCTCTCATTTTGGTTGTGCCTTTTTGGATAATGTTGATGGGGTTCTAGAACGGAACCATGGGTAGTCCTAGCTGCCCGCCAGCTGCACCTGTTGGTGCCCCCTGTAAGGGAATAATTGTTTGCTTTTGTAGCTTCCTGATTTGTTGATTTTATTGGTTGCTTTTAGAAGAATGCTGCAATCTCCCCCACCCTCTTGGGATTTGTGTTCTGTTTTTCTTGATGAGAACGATATTCTGATTAGTCAATACTGTGATCTGGCATCATTAACCTTCTCCCAAGGTAAATTCTGGCACTTCTCATTTTGCTTTTGATGCTTGCTCTTCTGTGCAAATCCAACTTTTATAGATGCCTCATGTGCTAAGGTATTATAAGGAGCCGTTCTTAGTTTTCATGATTAACAGCTCCTCACAGAACTTTAGCCTTACAGTTCCTTACTTTCTTAGATGCATATGTCCATATTGGTAATCTTTTGGTGATATTGTGAAAAGTCTGTCTACTGGAGTCTTATGAGGAGCTGTTCTAAGATGAAGTCTAGTGACATGATACATTTTGCTTCCACAATATGCGAACTTATTTTTGTCGTCAAGATGCTGTGTACTGGCGACTACGGGTGCTTTTGGTGACCCACTGGTGACCTGAACTTTTAACAAGATTTGTAAGTGCTCTTCGAAAGTAAGGTTCTTGAAGATGACCTGGAGGGATCATTCCGGTGACTTGTCGTATATATTTGTTAAGCCTGTTGCCATGCAGTATAGGGTTAGGGTAATAATATTTTTAATATATGCTCGTAGTCTGTAATGTTTAATTGAGATTTTTTTCGGTGGGAGTTGATCCCAAATCGTCCCAGGATAGAATTGTGAGAACTCGGTGTTAAATTCTGGTAGAATAGTGAACCATATTACAGGGAGTCTCGAACTTTGAAGTTTGCTCTTCACTGACGTTATTGTTTACAATAAATGTGTGTTATACTGTGCAATACTTAAAAGAAAATCATTCTCTTTATGCAGACGAGTTTCTATGGTGTGAAATGCTATAATCCTTGTTGTTTCATGAGATCTTCTAGTTCTCTATGTGGCTGGGTTTTACATTCAGTTGCCCTTGTCTAATGAAAACGACCAAGTGTCCCAGTACTATTGGTCCCATTGTGTGTCTTGGAAGTTGGAAGGGATGCCAATTCTGGCTTTTCTGCTACCATGCTTGCTGGTTTATGGTGCCTGTATATATCAAAGAGCATGTGGTGTTCGTCTCAGAATTTAAAGGTGTTCTGATCCTCGCTTCTATAGGATGAAGGCATGAAAATGAGCATGTACGATAGTAGACCAGATACCATCTTAAAACGTTATTATCCACTAGCAATTTATATCAATGCAAATTGAAGGTTTTGTGTAACAAAAACCTTGGGATTCATCAGGGATTCATTGTATTATGGATTTGAAAAGTCTAATGTTTACATGATAGATTTGATAATATATTTATGATGGATATGTCACATAAACAACCAACCATCATGGATTTACAAATCCCAAACAAATATGTGGGATTTACAAGTCCGTGTGGTCCACGGATTTGACACCCATCAACAAACAATGGACTTGTGTTAAATCCATCAAGCTTCCAAATTCATGACCTAAATTCAACAAAACGATCTCTAAGTGTGTCGGCAGTCTGCAGTACTGTCTATTACGTTGTCTACCATCATTGGCGACTGATCATTTCCATGGCGAGATTGGAGTTGAGCAAGGTTGCTTTTTGAGTGTCATGACTCATGACAGTAGTGTTTGGTGACTCTTTGGAAACTTCAGAGCGGTTGGATGGATGTTGAGTTCCAGGAGAATTTGATTTTTGTATGTAGTAGCAGAGCATTCAACCATGAAGACTTGTGTTCCAGGTGAAGGCATTTTGCTCTGATTCATCTTCGTCCGAGCCTCTTTGTTGGTGGTATTTTCCGCATTCAATGCAGAAGTTCATGACTGGATTGTACTGAAGGCCCAAAGAGGCTGACGATGTGGGCCCAAAATATGGACGTCTTGGTCGGCCGCTTGTGGAAGTGTAGGCTGGGCTCAACCTTGGGCTACTTTAGAAAATTCTGACGGGCTGGACCCTTACTTTCCCCAAGCCCCAAAGTGCGCGATCGCCCTTTTCCTGAAGAAAGTGAAACGACAGTGTCTTTCCCTCCAAACGAACCAATTGGCGCGCAACGGAAGCGCCAATGCTGCAAAAAAAGGGGGAAAATTAGGGAGTTTTCAATTTCCCGGTTTCTCTTCTGCTTACCGCCAAAAGAAATGCGACTTAAAGCCCCGGTAGTGACGATGGCTCGTCCATTTCTTCAATTGGCAGGCAGAGGTTTCTTACTCAAGGAAGAAACGCACAAACCCTAATCCTGAAAAACCATCCCATCCGTTCTCTTCCCGTTTTCGCTCGTCGATTACCTTGAATCAGGTCGGAATGGCGGGAGGTGGCAGCATTAAGTCGAACCCAACGAAAGCAAGGAAGAGGGTGGAGGCCGACAATGGTGCTTCTGCTGCTTCCATGGTTCGCGCCAGGGACGGCAGCGCATTTACTAGATGGTAAACCAGTTTCTTGACCCAAGAGTGTGCTTTTTGTTCTTACTCCGTTAAATATTTCTCGCTAATTCATGGACGGACTTGGTTGGGCATATGTGGTGTTCGTGGAAATACCTCAGTGAAGAGTGCAAGAAGGACGTGGCTGTGGCGCTCATCGGTATGCATAGTTGCAGCCTTGACGCCAAAATCAAGATGAACTTAGGTCGGTTTTCTAAGCTCTAGTACGCACGTCCATTCTTTTTTCACCCTTTTTCTTTGTCGTCTTCATCGCCTGGTACAATCCGTACTAACCTTAGTCCCCATCTGCTGATGTGTAGAGGCTCAAGTCGTTGAAAACGCCGCTGATGTTAAGACTACGAAGAAGAAGGCAGCCGAAAGGTAATTTGTTTTAGCTAGTCAGCTATCTGTTTGTGAGAGTCTCTTTTAGGTTGTTTAAAGAGTTGGGTATGGAACAGGAACACTGGGGAAGTGGAAGATCCGAAGGCAAAGAGAGCCAAGAAAGAGAAACGGGCTGCCAAAGATCCAAATAAGCCCAAACGCCCTCCTACTGCCTTTTTCATCTTCATGTCAGTAGTGCTTTAATCCACTCCCTTCTAGTCTCAGTATGGCTCTTGGTTTCTCAGAATTACCTTATTGATTGATTACCTTTGCGTTTCACCAGTGGTGACTTCAGGAAAGAATACAAGGAAGCAAATCCTGACTCTAAGGATGTTAAGAAGGTTGATTGAAAATCTTATGCTTCCTTTTCTTGTACTTGAGTTATGGGGTTTTTTTTTTGTCGGTACCTGATGTGCCTTTTCATTTTCTTTGCATCCTTAATGTCTAGATTGCCAAGGAAGCTGGCCAGAAGTGGAAATCCATGACCGATGAAGTAAGTCTAATTTTGCTGTCCTCTATCCAGAACTGTGCAAGTGGTAATACCCAAGAGTATAATTGTGCACATTGTTGCTCACGTTCTCTCCTAACTCGTCTTAGGAGAAGAAACCTTACTTGGATAAGGCTGCTCAGCTTAAGGCTGAACATGGAAAGACCTCTGGTGATAGCGACGATGCTGAAAATGGAGCTCCAGCAGATAAGGAGGGTGAAGATGTGAGTATTGTCTCTTCAAAAGACTCGTTGAACCTCATTTGTACAAGGTTGTGAATTATTATTCAAATTCTCTGACATTTGTCTCAACATGGATGTGATATCTGATTATCCAGGATGATGAAGAGGACACAAAGGAGGAGGAAGAGGACCCAAATAAGGAAGATGCTGCAAAGGATGGGGTAGAAGATGAATCTGGTTCAGAGTAGTATCTACTACATAATTTCAAATGCTTTAGCGCTTCTTTTGTAAATGTTCTCTATGTCACTCAGCTCATGTAGTTTAGTTGGGTGGTTGGCTTGTGGGTCCTTTCTCAATGTAGCTAGTTTGTTAGTGTTAAATGCTGGTTGATCCTTATCTTGAAGAAGCAGGTTTTGTTGTCATCATTAATTTATCATGCGAGTGCAATGCTGGTTACTGTGATTCATATCTTGAAGAAGCAGGTTTTGGTATCATCTTTAGTTTATCATGTGTGCTGAATTGGGTATAAGTTGCAGTTGGTTTTTGTTCTACCTCAACCAATCGGAATGTGGGTTTTGCTTGTACCAATTATGGCAATGGTGTTTAGTATATGGTTATCCCTAAAAATCTCGTGCAAGAATGTTGTTCCATCACAGCAAAAGAATACTGCTTTATATTTCGCAGGTAAAAGAGAAGCTACTACAATCTATAGACTATAGCAATGGGGTAACTAAGGTTGGTTTGCCTCCATTAAATCAGCCATCTAGCTCTCTTATCTGTTTTCAAGCTAACAGTAATATGTTTACTTTCTCATCTAGTCAGCACGATCGCTGGCCGATATCTTCATTCCCTCACCCGGCACGGCGGCAGAGGTTTACCGCAGAGGCAGAGGTTGTGAGCATAAGCGCTCGCCGGAAAGATGTTGTAAGGCCTCCCTTGTGGAATCTCTCCGCAGAGTCTGTTGGCCCTAAAGTTGGCATGTCTCAGCCGCTTCACTCCCAGCAAGCTACTCGGGATTTTGCCGGCCAATAAGTTGACGGACACGTCAATCCACTGAAGATCGACGAGCTTCCCCAAGCTCGCCGGAAGTGTTCCGGATACTCTGTTCCTCGCTACATCCAGTCTCTTCAGTCCGGTCAGATTCGTGATTGAATCCGGTATGGGCCCCGAGATCCGATTCCTCGACACGTCCAGAACTTCCAGAAAGCTTATTCTGCTGCTGTTGTTGTTGAGTATTGCAGAGAGTGAGCCGGTGATGCGGTTAGACCCGAGTTGAACGGAAGAGATCCCCGACGGCAATGTAATCTCCTTGAGGTCGAATGTAAGCTGGTTGCCGGAGAGATCGAGGCTCTGCAAGCTGGAGGCGTTGGTCAGGAAGCCGGAGATTCCCAATTCGAATGAGTTATGGGAGAGATCAAGAGACATGAGAGAGTCCGGTCGGCTGAACACCGGAAGTCTTCCCTTCAGTCCACAGCCAGATAGTCGGACGTCGGAGAGCTGCCTGTCCTTAATCCAGTTAGGCACCGTCCCTAAACTTAGGTTGTTGAAGGACAGATCTATCGACACCAACGAGGGCAGACCTGCAATGCCCGGCAATTGGCCGGAGAATCCGTTGCTGGACAGATTAAGGTACCAAAGCTTCTGCAGAGTTGAAATGGAAGGTGGAATTCCTCCGGAAAGCCGGTTGGAGCTCAGGGAGAGACGAGCAAGCGATTTCAGTCCGGCCATGCTGGCAGGAAGCTTCCCAGAGAGCTGGTTATGGTCCAGTGAGAGATCCTGTAGATTCTGCAGAGTGAACAGAGACAGCGGGAGCTGGCCTGTGAAGCGGTTGTACGAGAGGTCGAGAAAGGTGAGGTTTCGGAATGCGGTAGGGATTTGGCCGGAAATGAAGTTGTGGCTGAGATCGATAGACTGCAGAATTGGACGGCGGGACGATTTTGGGACAAGAACTGCGCCGGTGAGGGAGTTTCGAGCTAACCCGAGTAGCTGGAGGTTGGGGAGATCCCAAATGGACGGAGGAATCGAACCACTGAGGCGGTTTCCGGCAAGGGAGACGGATGCCAGACGAGTCAGCCGCCCTATGCTCGGAGGGATGGCACCGGCGAGCGAAGAGTCCTCGATGATCAACTGACTCACCCTGGTGAGGTTGGAGATTGCAGGAGGGATTGGACCTGCAATGTGCTTCGTCCCGGTGATGACAAGAACCTCCAGCGACGTCAGTCCGCCGAGAGAAGGCGACAGAGTTCCCTCCATGTAGCCGTCCGGCGGCGCCTGTATGAGCAGAGAAGTCACCCTTCCGGTGGTCGGATCGCACTGCACGCCTTCCCATTCCGTGCAATGGTCAGTGGTTGCTACCCAGGTGGAGAGGATTCCGGTCGTGTCTTTCAAAATTCCGGATTTGAACCCGAGGAGAGCTCCCTTGTCTGACCCTGCATCAGCATTGTTCAGAACGAGGTGGCTCCATAGCAGCAGCAGCAGCAGCAGCAGGGACAAGAGGTTGGTCGTCAGGAACGGCGGCATGATCTGTCTGGATACAACCTGAAACAGAGAAAGCTACAACCGATCATGGTGTTCCATTTTGGACTGGGTTGCTTAACGTAGAGATGAAGGTGTGATGATGGGGAATGTAAAGGAAGGAAGAAGAAAGACTGTACCTTTATGGTTTTTGCTTTTGAGCTTGGTCGCTTTAGTGCTGGATCTCTGTCAGGGGAATGTAGTAGTGGATGCTGCACATGGTGGGAGAGGAAGAAGGAATTCCAAGCTGTGGGGAGGGTTTTTATTTGCGCAGAAGAGTAGAAGGGGAATGAATGTTGGGAGCCTGTGAAGGAGGAAGGGGATTCACGGGGATTGGTAAGACGTTGGGAGCGCACTTTTGATTCAAAATGAAAGAAGCAATAGAAGAAAGTGCAGTTCCTGCCGGGTTAAATAGTGAACTGTAAATAGTCAAAGTCGATCGTTGAGGCAAAAGTATAGGGAGGGTGAAGGTGAAGCTAGAAAACAAGAGGATAAATCTAAACAATAACGGTATGAAGTGTTTTTGTAAACAAAAAAAATAGAGAAAAACAACGAAAGAAAGTGATAGCAAGGATCCCCCACCCATACCCACCCTCCATGTGACTTTCAATCTCTCCTCCAATGTATCAATTATGTGTTTTGAATAGGATTGTCAAACAATAATCCGTTTCTACAGGGGTTTCAAATTGAGTTTTCTCCGATTTTATCGTGTTTCTGAACGATTTTTTCTTGAACAAACTAAAATACACTGTGCATGATGCGAGATTAGTTATAGCAATTACGGTTGAGTTGACGAGTGGTATGTGGGGACAAATCATAGTTTTCTTTGGGAATCATTTATAGCGGTAAATGGAGAATTAAGTGTGATAGACAGTGAAATACATACGCACATCAGAGGTATAATTTCTTATGTCTATTTTTGGCCAGCTTTCGGTGAGAGATAAAGACCATTTTGAATGCATATACAGAAGTTTTTTTTGACACAGTTAATTTTGAGGGAGCAGAAGAAAGAGGGGACAGGTATAGGAAAAGAAAAGGACGCCAAGAAACTTAACCTTATAAGGTCGGCAGGTCGCAGTGATTTGCGCTTGAGTGGACCATTTATCCTTGCCGTGTTTGAAATGATTGCGCTCTTCTGCAAAGCTTAAAATGGACCCCCAATTCAACACAGCGTCGTGCCAATTTGTTCAGTTACGGCGGCGCCATGTTCTGCCCGTCCCCTCTCCCGCATTTGGTTTTTCCTCTACGCTTGAAAAGTTAATCCCCTTTACATCTCGATCCTTTTTATCTTACCTTAATATGAAGGCACAAGCTCATATCATTGAATTGTTTTTTTTTTTTTTTTTACTATGTTAGCTGGCTGGCACACTATATCGACTGAATCAAGTACATACGTTAGAACATATTTGAGTGTAATAACAGATAAGATATGTAGGAATGATAATGGGTTGACTCATTGAATAATTTGACTCAACTGTCATGATCAATTTTGGTATTGGGTCCAACCCAAACGATGTCATATGCACTTTTAATGAGTTTGGGTTAAGTTTGAACTCAATCGAATTTGAATCAACCAATTTGAATCTAGATAATCGTACGCACAAAAAGGCACCATAGACCATCCCACTAACTGCCTTCAACCTAATCACATTTAATGTTGGTGTTTCCATCTTTCGGTTTGTTCATAACAAAAAAGTTGCACTGAAATTGAATATCTATTTTCTCTTGGGTACCCAACACTACCCAAAAGCAAAATTACTCAAAAATTTGATATCCAAACATTGAGTATTTTTTGCTATCTTAGTGACATGGCCATTATATACAAACAAAAATTAACTAGAATTTTACACATGCCCATGTAACAAATTTGTATTTTGAATGAGACGATATAGCATGTTTGAGGCTTTTCTTTCTCTAAGAAAAAGAAGAATAATTCCTTCTATTCCTTCTCAGCAATTACGACAAACATATCTTTCACTGACCACCTCCGTCTCTCCGCCTTAGCCGGCGGATTGATAACAGCTCTTTCCGCGTTATATAAACGGTATCCGATCACGATCTCTTTCCTCTGCCGAGCTCTCAACATTATCTCATAGAAGCTCAGCTCTTCTCCTTCACGCAGGTAAAGATCAGCTTCTCTTATCTGCAACTCGTTTCCCTGTCAACAACACCTCGAAACAAAAAATGTTACGACGGAATCGTTAAACTACGAGTAGTATTACGTAATTATGTACTAGATCTGCACTGGTGATGTGTACACGACCAGACTCGTATTCCTTACTAGCTTGGATCTCACTACTCTGACCCATAAGTCAACAATCATGATGAAACTTGTTATATAAGTTTTACTTAATTGTTCTTGTCCTTGATGATACTAGACTTGATGTGGAAGTCATCTGTTATACTTAGTACGGTACAACAGTTTAAATCAAATCCTTATTTTCTAACAGGAATAAGGACAGAGAGAATTTCATACCTCCTCCGCGAATAGCTCTTCGAGCACATGATTGATCTGACGATCCTCGGCAACCATTGCCAGCGCCATGCTGACAAGCTCGTTCGACAAAACGTAGTCGCTGATCTTCGACATGGATAGTAGGTTTTTGGTCCTTGGGTCCAGAATCTCACTGATGATAACTGATTTATCAGAAGCCTGTTGCATCTCTCCTATCCAAGATCCCTGTGAGAAGCTCCCTCTCTGAACTGATGTCACCATTGCTTCTCTGTATGGGAGCCGCTTTGCCTGCCAAGAATCAAGACACCAGCGGGTCTGAATATGCCATCTCGAGAGCAGCAAGTTTCACCAATGAATAAACTATTCATCCATGGTTGATTAGGATTTTCAAACGTACCTGAATATCACGAATCAACAATAACGTGGCTAGAGATCTAGAATCAGCTTGAATAGCTGAATCCTCGACTGACTCGTCGGCCAAAATTAAAATCTGTCACAAACAGAAGACAGAGATAATATTTCAACTAAGATCATGAGCATAACTGCAAAAAAGTACATGAACGGACACCTGAAAAAGCCCTCTCTTCTAGATTCGTGCCACTTAACTTACCGAATCGAAAGATTCTAGGGGAAGGCTTTCCAAGTGACGCCTGATAACTGCATTGCCTTCTCGGTTGACCAATGATATATTCACCAACCTGCTGAGGTCAAGACCACCATCGATAAGCTTCTTCTCCCTCTCATTTTCAGGAACATCATTGAACATCCAGAGCTCAGAACACGGTGCAAGAAACGCATCCAACACCTATATAAGCATTGGTTAATAATATACATCTCCGGTCGCAAAGGAAGAAAGGAAATAATCTAAAAATCCATCAGACATAAACATCCAGGCCTAGAATATCATTATAACCAAAAGTGGGACTTCAGTAACAGCACGCGACATCCTGAAACATTCTACCACCACTTTGTTGGCACCAAGAGGTTCATCAGAATGATTGCAGAATTGCCTTAGCATTTACCATTATAATATCTTCCATATCTCTTCTCCAACCACAAAGTAGTATCCTTTCTGCAGACTTTGGTACAACGAAGTCTTTGGGCAGACTTCCCCTCCACACCTGCAGCATTCAGGTGAAAGAGAAGAAAGAATTAGGGGCTACAAAGAAAGAACTTACCACAATCATATCATCAATGTCCCTCCTCCATCCACAAAGTAGAATCGTCTGTGGCTTTCTTGTTGATCGATCAACGTTTACAAATGATGCTTCGTTGACCTGAATGATGAAATTTGCTATGGTGTAAGTTTTATAATTAGTGTTTGCCAATTTTCTCTAATGCTACTTCTTTGACCTGCATCAATGATTTGTACTCATTTTAGTTTTATCACTCACATTTTCCCAAACCATGTCCTAAAGGAAGTACAGCCTGGCAAATCCTAAATTAACAAGTAGATTATGCGCATGCCTGTCAAGATTTCTTGTAAGACTCAAAACAGTTAAGGTGAGTTGACATTCAACATAACCCAGTCAGGTGAAACATTTTCACTTTGGACAAGAAACTGAGCCAAATAACACCATGAACTCCAGAGCAATCTAGTCATCATTTTTCTTTATGTAATCCAATCTGTTATGCTTACTCGTGAATTCAGTCACCACATTCTCCTCCGGCCCTTTTATACCTAACTTTGCCATGTCAAACAACTTGGTCTCTTCCAAATCAAAGACATCTTCATAAAGAACATATCTTTATAGCTTCAGTTTACCCTTCTTCTTTATTTGCTACCGTTCTTTCAGGTGAAATTAGAGTTGAAGTGCAAGTTTAGTTTGGTGAGTAATGCAAAGATCAGATTCCATGCAAAAATCATAAAGGCCATGCATTGGAGAAAATGAGCTTCCGAAGGAAAGACGACCCGATGCGACGGCGGAGATGGAGGTGGAGCTGGTGGTGCCGCCGGTGCTGGAGAGATGTACGAAGGTAGTGGGGACGAAGGAGCAGATGGAGGCGCGGGAGCTGTACTGGGAGGCGATCGCCGGCAAGGGATCGGGGTCGGAGTTGAAGCAGGCGGAGGAGTTGCTGGTGAGGAGCGTGGAGAAAAATGGTGTGGTAGGGGAGCCGCGCGTGGTGCTGGCGCAGGTTTATCTGAGTGGAGGAAGGTTCGAGGAGGCGGAGAGGGAAGCGGCGATTGGGCTGAGGCTGATTTTGGAGTGGGGGAGCGCGTGGGATAAGCGGGTGTCTTGGGAAGGTTGGGTTGCTTGGGCCAGGATTCTGCTGATGAAGGCTAAAGAGAAGTTCTGGCCCAACACCGCTTGGGGCGTCTCCAGTTTGGGCCTCGTCAGGTAGACGTGAAATTCCTCGCCGTAGTATCATCCCGGCGCCTGGTAGCTGGTGAACCTAAAATGTGATAGTTTCTGGCCTTTGGTAAGTTAAGTTTGCAATAATCCAAGAAGGAAAATAATGATGAAATGAAAGTTATAATATTAAGGAAAAATCTAGAAATTGAAACAAAATATAAAGAAAAGATAAGAAAAGAAAAGAAAAGAAAGTGAAATGTTGTATGTGGTGAGGTTCAGTGAGCTTATTTGTGAAATTACTAGTTTGTTATGGCATGTAATATGGTTTCGGAAATAACTTGATGGACAGTTTGTTGATCGTCGTGGCCGTGGAGAACATTGATCGTGTGTGGATTGCCAGTTGTAGCCTATTGACGTGAACAATTTTCATTATCATTGGTTGGTGGGGAAAGTATCATTGCGATCCAATTGATGAATATATTAAAAAAAAAAATAGTGTCTCAGTGCATGCATATGCGCAGGAGACAATGTTAATCGAAAGTAGCTAAATACTAATGAGACAAGGCTCTAGCTTCTTGGTGCTATACTGGGACATGTCGGGCGTAGGATTGAGCTCGGGACTTGACTAGTTCTGAAAGACTTATTTTCAATAAATAAAACATTATTGGCTAAGATAAGAAGTTCATAATTCTATTATGCTATACACCAAGCCAATAAGGAGACGATACCAGAGGTGTCAATGGGAGAAGGCAGAGCTCGATCAGTAGATCTTTTTATGTTGATGGCTTCCTCTCTATACAGAAGTAAGGAAGTGGATGATGAAGCAAACGGGGTGGGTTGCGAGTTGGGACTTGAAAGACAGCTGATGCAGCGATCCAATCGGGGTTTCCCAGCTTCAATACTCCTGAATTCATGGCTGGAGAGTACAAAGACAGGCGAAATGGAGCGCTAAAGGTGGGATGCAAATCGCCAAGTGCATAAGTCCAATACAATCTGTGCCTCTCCCGCAGAAACATAAGATTCTGTTTGACTGACTGGCGTGATTAATTAGTTTCTTCTGCCTACTTTTCTACTTAATTAGTTAATTAATGAAGTAGTACTGCTCCGATCCAGGCGAAAAACGTGAGCGCCTAGCCTTGAGCGAAAGAAATTAAAGCTTTGCTTCAGTTCGTCTGGTCTCAGAATAAACGGGAGCGCCATTGTTAACATCTAATTTGGTAATATACTACTGCTAACACACTCCAGATATATATATTTTTTGCTGATTTTTCTTTTTTATGTTGAAGGGGTGGATCACAACAAGTGCTGATCTACACATACTATAATACACCGAAGTGAAAAACGGGAGCCCCATTTCAAATTTCTTGCAACGAGAGTGAATGTAGGAAGGACATTTTGGTCTTCACAATTACTTTTTTTTATTCATTAAAAAGATACATACTGGGATTCGAACCATGACCATTTTAAAGAAAAGCAAGGATCATAACCAATCACACTAAGTACATTTGTTATATCCTTTTAAATTAAAAACATATAATAGCAGGGTGGAAAAAACTCTTCCCCCATTTCAAATTCTCTGCTCCAGGAGCGTTTGTAGGAAGGGTAAAATAGGGAGTACCAATTTTTTCTCTTTCCTCTGTGGAACGGGCCAACTTACAGTACACATGCGGATTTAAACGGGTCTAGGAGTGTCAATTTTTTTCTTTATACCCTTTTATTTCTCCGTGGTGATAAAATATATATGAAAAGGCAAAAATAATACTCCTTTTTATTGTTAAAAATAAAAAATTTAACAATAAACTAATGCATGGTATCTAATGGGCTAACCGCTAACCATAAAATAAAAGAGTTGAATGAGCCTGACCTACATGGGATTTGGCCATCAAGTAAAACAAATGAACATCATTGGTTTGCCATTCTAAAACAAGCTATTTTCTCTGGCATAATATATATTATGCTATTATTTTATATCTTAATAGCTATAATATAATGAATTTTAAAGTTATTCAATGGTTCAACCTCGACCAACCCAATTATTCCAATTTTTATCATTTCAAATATATATTTTATAATTATTTGACATCATATTGATCAAATTATAGTGTGTTTTATAGGGAATCGTTTGGTATTTGTTAGTAAAAAACTAAACATATAGATCTATTTGGTTATTTTAAACATTAAAACGATCCTAAACATTTTCAGTTCCTTTTGAATTTCTATGGTTTTATTCCCGAATAAGTGATGTGCAAATGGTGAATTGTAGTCGTCTCTTTTCTTTCACTATTTTTTATTTTCAAATAGAAAGTTTAAAAGTAAAGAATAATTAGAATTTGGCATGGGTCGGTCAAACAGGCTGAATTTCAAGTTTTGGCCCGTTTGTTTTATGCATTGCAAATTTATTAGCATGTTGATGGAAATGGCTTGAAAAAAAGACATATAAGTTGTACCTTTGCAGAAATGTCCTCAAATGTTTGAATGCTTTGTGAATCAGGTTCCGTGACTTTTGTGATGGTGTATGTGCTTGACGATTGCTCGATGTTGTAACTACTTAATTTGAGAGTAAATCTTTTGATTTTCCCTATGAGTTGTGATACCAGTTCTGGTGGTTGCAGCATGTTGTCGTTGTTGGCCTGTAAAAGTTGTTCCGCCGTGATGCTAAATACCTTTCTTTCTTTTTAACAAATTGTGTAATAGTGCTATGAAACAGACCACCCATGAACGCTACGCTTATTATGGTCTGTTCTTACTTCCAGTGGTGAGAAATTGTGAATTGAGAATCATATTCGCCTACCGCACTGTGTCTGGCTGGTGGCTGCTTATTGTGCTCTCTAGAGTTATGAAACAGACTACCCATGAACGTTACCCTTAAGAGTCCATAACTTTGCGAAAAACCAAATTTAGGCAATCAAAGGTGGTGGATGTGTGATGATTTTTTATGGCTTAATTGTTTGTGAATTGGATATCTGATCTTTGTATGATTAGAGGGGATGTTTGCTTAATAGAATAATCCATTTTAATTCATGTTTATTTTTAACATGAAGTTTAGTAACTCAAAACCTTCGAGACACATATCACCTACTGCATTGTATCATTTTGCCTGGGTGCTTGCTGTGTTGTCAAACTTCTTTGCTGCTGTTGCATTTGCACTAACAGGGGAGTTAAGAACCCATGAATGTTTCCGTTTGACATAAACAACAGGACTTACTTCTAAATCGTGCATTAAAGATGATTGGAGGAAACATCTTTGTTGCAGTTGATATACTGGAGACCATAACAAAAGCAACGTATAACATCAAAACCAACCATCTGAACTATTAGCATTGTTGCTTTACTCTTTTTTCGTGGTTGAGTCTCCTTCAAAAAATTTAGTTTGATTTTAGAAAATTTTGCTTCTGCAGTCCTGTCTTGCCACCAACGCGTTCAGTAGATGGCGAAGGCTATTTTTGTGTTGTTGTTGCTGGTTTAGGGGATGGGATACGGTAACAACCCCTAAAGGGTTGTGAGATTGACAACCAAGGGTATTTTGGGTATGACAAAAAAAAAACGAATTTGTTAATTAATTTTTTATTAACTACAGATTGGGAATTAAAAACCCATATTAAATACATGTTTTTTAAAATTTTGAATCCTACAATAAATACAACTCTCTCTTCTTATCTCTCTCTTTCTATCTCTCTCTTCCTTTTCAAGCAGCCACTCCACTCCGACCAGCAGACTTTCTTCGGCAAGATCCTTGAATACGACTCGCTCTGGCCACCTGTAAACAATTAAAACTCTGTCAGTACGTTAGTGGTACTTACCACTACCACTGGTACCACTATCATCTGGTACCGGGTAGTGGTAGTGTACCACTGCCTTCTGATACTTAGTAGTGGTAGCGTACCACTATCATTTGGTACCAGATGGTATTGGTACCAAATGATAGTGATAGCATACCACTACCAGCTACCACTCCATATAGTACCACTACCAGTAAAAAACCAGTACCACTACCACTAGAAAATAAGTACCACTAGAAAAAAACCAGATCTGAAAATCCAAAAATCATGGATATGAAAAACGAAGAGGAGGAGAGGAGAGGAGGCACAAAGAGGCAGAGGGACTCACACCGGAAGAGGTAAGGAGAGGAGGCTAGTGGCAGGGGTAATCGATGACCTCGCGGTAGAGACCTCGTGGCAGGGGCGGAGAGCGCGCGAGACGGCAGCAACAAGGGCGGAGGCAACGGTGTGAAGAGCCAAGGGGCAGCCGACAGGGGCGGAGGTGCTGCGGGACTGTTGTGGATGCGACGACGGGAATAGGTGTCGGTGGGAGGAGGGCAGTAGGAGGAAGGTGGCGGCGGCGGCGAGAGGAAGGCGGCGGCGGGAGAAAGGCAACGACGGTAGGAGGAGTTGACGAGATGGGAGGAAGAAGAAGAGGAGGAAGAAGAAAGAAGGAAGAACAGGCGTTGGTGGCGGCCGCAGAGAGAGGGAGAATGATATGGAAATTCTAATTAGGGTTTTTAGAGAGAGGAGAAGAATATTGAATTTAATATGGGTTGTAATCCCATGTGGTCATATTTTTTCGTCCAAAAATACCCTTGTACCAATCTCATCCATCAATTTAAAAAAACATGAAAGAGAATGAATCTAATGGTGGATAAAGTGGGTTGTGAAAATAACAACCCTAAAAAGGGTTGTCACCGTATCTCACCCCCTGGTTTAGGGATCGGTTTGTGAAGAAGAGGGGAAAGAGAGGTGGATAACTCTTTTCTACGACAAAAATGGAGTGAAGAAAGGAATTATGATCAGTAAGGATATGGTTATCTTACATAACAGTCTCTATTCTGTTTGAATTGAGCTTGGGAGGCAGTGATAAGGACGAGTTGCATCCAATTCATAGTGATAAGAGTGCTATGAACTGTGATCATGTCTTATTTCAAGTTAGAAGGTAGTTTCAGTATAAGGATTATTTAATTTGACAAGTTGTTTCGTCCATGATTCTTGGTAGTTTCAGTGTCATTCTAGCCATTGTTTAGTCTGCAATTTTTGAGAATTGATGTGCGAGTAATGACTTTCACTTAGCTTCAACTATTATGTGTGTATTTATTGGCATGTGATAGAATTCTCTTTTCCTTTTCTTTGAATTCAGTTTCATACTCTAATTGTATCATTTGTACATAGGCAAATCATGCTCGAGATGACAACTCGCTGATATGGGTGGTGCAAGGAATGAAGCCATCATTAGAATTCAGACCGACAACGGGGAGGGATGCCCAGGACTAATTCAATGATGATTGATGATGGTATAATAAAAACTGCAGTCTGCATCAGCACCAATTTCTAGGCCTAAGTAAAGTTATTCAACCCAGAACTCTGCTTAGCGCTAAAAATTGCCCTCACCCAACCTTGATCCTGTTTGACCCACTTCTGAAGAGTCAAGATATATGACTAATCCTCTCCGTTCATATTTTCTTATTAACTCTTTCTGACCCTTTAGGTTGGGGCGGGTCGGGAAGAATTGGATTAGTGGGTCGGTCCTAATCAAGTGGAATCTCAATCCCTTCATTCTCACTTGCTTTCTCTCCCATTCCACAAGTGGGTAACATACAGTAATCCGGCCAACGGGCCGGGTAATAAGCTAGTTTTTAATAGAGAAGGACGCTTATCATTTTTGAAAAATTTTAAGGGGATCGGATCACGAGTGCGGAATAGCAAATTTGGACTATAGACATGACCAACCTCACCACAAAAAATATAACATAGACTAGAAAGCTCATAAAGCATATCAAAAGCTCACCACACCACAAAACTTATGAAGCATATCAGAAAATTCGAAGTTGATCACAAGTCTTCTGAACAATACAAGAAAACTCATAAAGTTGACCACAACTCTTATGAAACCACTACAAGAAAAAAGGGTTTCGCCAACCATGAAAAAAGGTCGCTGAAAGAGAAAAAATAGTTGCTGAAATACCTATGCGACTATTAAATGGCGTCGGCAATATGGTCGGCAAAGGACCGTCGGCTAAACAATTTAGCGACTATTTCCTCAAATAGTTGGTGAAAGTATGTTTCCAGCGACTACTAAAAGGGGTTGCCAAATCCTCAAAATAGCAACCTTAGTTGATAGTAGGCTATAAAGCTCTCAAGCAACGATAAATAGTAGTTGCTGAAAATGAACTTTTCCCAACGCCAACAGAATCGTAGCTTTTAAGTATCTAAGGCAACTGCATATATAGTCGTTATAACATAGCCATAATCGACTACCTGAATAGTGGTTGGCTTTAATGTTCTTCAACAACCATTGCCTATAGTCGCTGAAACATTGACAAAAACGACTATAATTGATATAGTTGCCTATAGGTGCCATTGGCAACCCTTTAATATGGGTGGCGATAGTTAACAATTTCGCACAAAATTCATTAGGACTACTTTCAACGACTATTATTTATGATGGTTGGCCCTTTTGAGGTTTCACCAACCATATTGAAAGGTTGGATAAAGTACTGCACTGAGTTCTAGCTACTCTTGTATATGGTAGCTGAAAGTCCTGTTTTCTGCAATTTATACATTATATGCTAGTAATTTTTCAATTTTTGTTGTACATATCTGACAAGAAATTGAAATACACAAAGCCATGGTTTCTAACATCATCACTCACGCAATAGTCAAATACTTATAAGATGAGTTTGTCTTAGGATTGAGAACACCAACTCCATTCTCAATACATACACGTTCATGTAGTTTATCATTCTGAATCCTAATATCAACTTGACTTAAACATTAGTAGAGCCTACCCTATCCTTCACAACTAATCTTCATGCCTAAATAATCATTAGTGGAGTATGTTAGTTCAATTCTCTACACTAATCTCCCTACCAAAATCCAACATCAGGGAGTCCATTCACCCTATGCCTATTCCCTACAACTAATCTTCTTGCCAAAATTCAACATCGGTGGAGTCCATATATCCATGCCAAAATCTAACACCAATGGAGTAGATATCTCCATGCCAAAATCACTTGATGCACTCCATCTGCAATGCCAACCAAGATAGAAAGCCGATTGATTTAAAGAATAAAACGAAACATAAAGGACGGAGAAACCAAATGAGCATTCATGAGCGGTATTAAATGATAAGGACACACCATTGAAAAATGTACATATCCAGCAGACAAATGAAAAGAATTGTGTGCACATCCGGCAAAAAGAAGTGAAACAAAAGAAACCAAAAATCTCGATGAAACATCAAAGATTAAAACATTTTCCCAAGGTAAAAGAATGTCATTTTCTATAGCAAGCAGTAGGTCCTACTTCCATTTAAATAGACATTATATTAAGGTGTATCTTCTCTCATTTCAACTCGTAGCTATGGAAAGTGAGGTGAGGGGAATAAAGTTAAGAAGGTCTAAAATCTATCAACCTCACTCCTAATTCACATATGCAGCTTCATATATACAAGTATATTGAAATCTGGAAAATTAAATCTTACTATTCATAATAAATTTCAGAACACTTACTAGTTGCCTCCTTTTTGAAGTTGTTGGCGCATGAAGTGTTCAAACACTGCTTGTTTCTCATTGATTTGGTTCATGTTTTTCTCTAGATGGTCACATCTGTCTTGCAAGCGAGTATTTTCCTGTGTCAGCATTTGATTTTGCTCAGTCACTTGAGTCACATTTTCTTCAAGGTTGGCACACCGCTCCTGCAAGCGGGTATTTTCTTCAGTCAACTTTTCATTTTGTTGAGTGACTTGGGTCATATTTTCCTCTAGATGTCCACATCTTTCATGCAACACTCATTTTCCTCTGTTAGCTTGTGATTTTGCTCCCTAACTTGTGCGCACTCATTCAAAGCACGTGTGTCGACTCTCTTAGGTGGGGGGTAATGGCCCATAGCCAACTCCTATGAGGCATCCAGAATTAGATCCTAACACTTCATGAAATGCTTCATCGGCAGTCACTGGTTGGTCGCTATCTTTAGTCTCATCCACCTTCTATTGCATGCGATTCTATAGGAAGAAGAAAAAAAGAAACAGATTTCACCATCCATTAGAATAATAAATTTGTATGAGGTTTATCTATTTATGAGTTAAATTCTGCATTTCACTCACATGTGCTTCAGCTGAATACTCATTCCTCCACTCACCAGTAATGGTGCATCTCACTTTTCTGAAGAAGTCAATCTTGTTATTAACTCCACTTCCTTCTTTATTTAGCTACTCATGTTCCCCATAATCACATAAAATAAATAATTATTGATTGTAATAGGTAATTGGTAGCCATACATGTTAATATAAGGAAAAGGATACTAACCAGCTCATAATACAGAGGAACCAAGGGAATCGGTCCTTGGCAATTGACATGCTGGACCATATTCCTATTTTCCGTGTTCTTATCACATAGTGCCTGATATTAGTTGTTTTCATTCATTGTGAGGGTTCAATGCCATCAAGTATGGTTTATATAGTTTCCATTCATACAAGGAATAATCACATTAGAAGACAAAAAGAAGTTGCAGGGTATAAAACAACTTGTGGCCAAATAGAACTAATATAAACAAGGCGTACCTGTACTTTTGGAGTGCCAATAGTCACATAAGTCATTACCATATCTGTTGATCTAGACAACGTGGTTTATGCTCCTTTGCTGTTTCATTATAGCGACGGTATACCTTCCGGTAATAGCTTCTTCTACCCTTCACAATCCTCATGAATTGCCTCCAAATATGACCTCTCACCACAATGTCTCCCACATTGACAATATTCAACTTCACCTATAATAAGGTACAAGAATATAAATAATAACTAATAAATTGAAAATAACATTTAAGTTTATCATAAACATGTGGCCATCCTTACCTCCAGCCTCAGAATAACTTCGTCAAGAATACGCCTCCTTTGACCTTTTTTTGAAATTGGCCATACATAATCAGGGGCTAGCTGCCCCAATTCAGAAGATACAGCCAAACTACCCCTCCTAGTTAGTGAACGTCCAAGCATTGGATCTATCTCCACTTCTAACTTCTTTCCATTCCTTTCATTTTGTTTATGTAGGGCAAGTCCACGTGTCACTCCTCTTCCTCGCTTTCTTTGTTTATCATTCATCCCTTTTTATGCAGAAAACAAGCGATCAACAAAAGATATGCAAAACAGCAGAGAACTTGCTCTTAATATGTTGCCAATGCATGAAAACATTAGGTGGAACCTATAGCAAAAATCATAGTAAAAATGCAATAAACACATGCATACCAGCATCAGGAGTTTGCTCAATGTTCTCTTCTTCGACAAATTCGGAGGAGGGTGTTGTTGTATTGTCTTGAGCCATATTTGGTGTAGGTGTAATCGGTGAAGAAGGAGAAGGACTTCTTGAGTTGCTCCCGTCCATGGAAGATGAGATACCAGCTGTAAAAGTATTAACAAGATAGTATGTTTACTGTATAGTTTATCGAAGTACTAATTGTGACTTAATATTCGGCTTAGTTACCTAGCATACTTGAAGAACCACCAAGTAATGTCTGTGTTCTAGATAAAGACACCCCTTTAACGAACACCGTGGATGTTGTCTTTTGTTTTGCTAGGAAAGTAAATCATATGAACAAGAAAAATATTATATATCCAATTATACATTGTGAATGACCAGGTTTGGGAAGGAATCATACTTTCAGCTAGCATACATAACATGAATAAGATCATTGAAATAACGAAAGCTCAACCATAACTTTGTTAGCTAGCTAACTTACCTTGTTTCGTGGCATTAGAAGACAAGAATGCACTTCTTTTCAAGCTTGGAGAAGGAAGTACAGTAGAATTGCCAACTCCACCAGAAGATGGGATTGGTATATCCGATACAGAGTTGCGCTTGGGAATTGAGCCAGACTTCATCAAAGATGGATTGCCTTGTTTTCTCATTTGAGCTTTTTTTGTGCTAGACATACCCGGACCTGAAGACATCGCGTTAACCTGAAATGAAGAAAGAAAATTAGCATGAAAAATAGGTTCATACACGTGTAATAACATGGTCAAAACTAACAAGCCATCTTGACTCAATAGTACAAAGCATTATAAATAGCTTTTTAGAAGTGACCAGGTTTTGGTGAAACAATTATACTAATAATGCAAAAAGGAAAAGCAAAGCCAACTCTCGGATTAAAAATATGAATGCAAGAGACGATTGAAGAAAGACAAAATAATTAGTGCAAGTATTAAATTAGTTAAGCATCATCATTATTACTATCTAATCAATTCTCATATCCAAGCTCATCTTCCTCCTCTTCACTGCAAGAATCTAGGGAAACGTCTTCTTTGTCTACAGGTGCAGTTGCAATTGATGGTACATCACTTTCACTTCCACTTTCATGATCAACTTCTTCGTGTGCATCTTCTATTTCCATCTCTCGTTCCGATGCAGTTCTCTTCCTCCTAATCATAACATCAACCACTTCTGCAGCAACATCATCTCTTCGCAATGATACTTCACCATCAATTTCAATGCTACCAACCTCCGGTAAAACATTTATTAACTCTTCATCTTGGTATGCATCTTCATTGTTGCTCATGTCATTAGAGATCTCAGGGTCATCTAAGTTCTCTATATCTCCAGAAAAAATATGACGATGGCTAAACAGTTGCACAACTCTCCAATTCAGCCCCAACTTAGGATCATTTGTGTAATAAACTTGCTTTGCCTGATTAGCGAGCACAAATGGATCACCCATTGTACCAAAATCGATCAACACGAATACTAGTAATTGCACCATCATTTACTATTCTTGACTTCTGTCTGTCCACATCGAACCATCCGCACTTGAAGAGATAGACATGTTTATCCCTTAAGTAGTATAGCTTGATGATCTCCAACAAAACCCCATAAAAGTCTATAACTTCATCACCATGATTTCCTTCCACAACAACACCCACTATTTGTGGCTTTTAAGGCGAACTTCTCGATCCTTAGTATGGTATCTAACACCATTGATGATACAACCAGTATATTTGTTAACACAAGGTAAGGGGCCACGAGATAGTGAATCCAAAGCCAATGTTCTTTCGTCTTTATTTGAGCATAATGTATTTTCCATCTACAATCGAAAATATCAATCACTAGTCAAATGCTTACTCTAAAAACTATTTATCACATCTTAGGGGGACAACTATGAGTTTATTTAAGTTACCTGTTTTCGAAACCACTTTGGAAATTGCTTTTTATGTACATCATGCTTTCTCACCAGATCATGAGCTTCAATAGAATTCAAATGCTCCCTAAAATGCCAAATATGTATAAGAAATACACATTGAAGAAACGATTATCATTAATTTTAAACCCATCATTACCAACTTACTCCATGTACGGTTGAACATCTTCGCAATTGCTAAGCACGTACCAATGAGCCATTTCTAATTCCTCATCAGATAATGGCAAATATTGCGAACCACCAATTGGTCGAACTTTGGTCGAGAAAATAGACAAGTTTCCATCTTCTTCAATGTCATAGTTTCTCTCGGGAGCATTAAATTGTGTCTCGATTCCATCCAAATACATCGAACAAAATGTCAAACATTCATCAACGAGATACGCCTCAGCAATTGAACCTTCTGGATAAGCTCTATTTCGTACGAACCCCTTTAAAGTGCTTAGAAATCTAATAAAGAAATAGTAAAGGATTAACCTTCCAACACTTATTGAGAACATTAGGAATGCTAAAAGAAGCTCTTTTGATTCAAAAGTAATCGCACCTTTCAATTGGGTACATCCATCGGTATTGTACTGGTCCACCAAGTTTTGCTTCATGTGGCAGATGAATAGCCAGATGCACCATAACATCAAAGAAGGCAGGGGGATAAATCATCTCTAGCTTGCACAAGATCATGATTATATCTTCTTGTAACTTGTCCAATGCCTCTACACTTAACGTCTTGCAACATAAGCGATGAAAGAAATCCCCCAATTCAGCTAAAACATTAGCGACATGTACATCCATACCTCCTCGTACCCCTACAGGTAGCAATCTTTGCAAAAGAATATGACAATCATGACTTTTGAGCCCCGTAACTTTTCCTTCAACAACATTGGCACATCGAGATATATTCGAAGCATAAGCATCAGGAAATTTGACTTCTTTCAGAAATTGGCAGAAGTCTTTCCTCTCTTGCTTTGTCATTGTATATAATGGAGGAGGCATATCATATCTCCCATCACTTCTTTTCACAAGTTGCAACTCCTTTCTTATCCTCATCACTTCCAAATCTTCTCGTGCTTTCACTGTATCTTTAGTTTTCCCAGGGATGCTTAGTAATGTCCCAACAACATTATCGCATATATTTTTTTCAATATGCATAACATCCAAATTGTTCCTCAATTTTAAGGATCTCCAATAAGGAAGTGTGAAGAATATGCTTCTTTTCACCCAATTTAAATCCTCACAAGGCCGCTTTCTCTTATCAAGAATCTCAGGATGTTTGCCAGGAGGCCTCGCCGTTACATACACAAGTTGTTCCAAAATATCATAGCCAGATAAGAACACAGGAGGTGGTCGCATCTCTTGTTTTCCATTGAATTTTTTCCTATCTTTTCGCCACCTATGTTGGATCGGTAAGAAGCGTCGATGACCCAAATAGCCAATTTTGCTCTTCAATTTGTGAGATGAACTATCTTTGTTACAAATAGGACAAGCAAGATATCCTTTTGTGCTCCATCCCGATAGATTACCATAAGCTGGGAAGTCATTTATAGTCCATATCCAAGCTGCATGGAGCTAAAACTACTTTTAGAGTGGACATCATAGCTTGTGTCCCTCCAACCACAACTCTTGTAGCTCATCAACCAAAGGTTTCAAATAAACGTCGATATCCTTTCCTGGGGCTAAAGGGCCAGGAATCAACAAAGTCAATAACAAATATGGCTCTTTCATGCACATCCAAGGAGGTAAGTTATATGGTGTAAGCAAAGGCCACATGCTGTACGAATTGCTCATATTGCCAAAAGGATTGAACCCATCACTTGCTAGTCCAAGTCGCACACTACGAGAATCGGCAGCAAACCAAGGGTACTCTACATCAAAGTCCTTCCACTCCTTTGAATCAGCAGGATGGCTAAGCAATCCACATCATCATTACGCTTTTCTTTGTGCCACCTCATGTGTACCGCAGTTTTGCTTGACATGAATAATCGACGAAGTCTTGGTTTCAAAGGAAAGTAGCGTAAAATCTTCCAAGGAATCTTCTTTCCTTTTCATCATTAACTTTCCATCTAGAAGTTTTGCTATTGGACAAGCTTCTAGTTTCTCATTCTCCTTCCAATACAAGGCCAATCATAGGGGCATGCATGAATGGGAATATCCTAAGCCAAGGCTAACGCAACATATTCTTAGCCTCATAATAAAGAACTAGAATCAAATTACCAGTAGGTAAAGCGTCCTTCAACAGCTTAAGCAACATATCAAATGACTTGTTGCTCCATTGTTGTATACTTTCAAGTGAAGTAACTTTACGACAAATGATAGTCTTGAATATTTATCGCAACCAGGATATAACTCCTCATGAGCTTTCCCCAATAAAGCTATGAATTCTTCGTACCCCTTAGTATGATGTCATCTCCATTGTTCTCATCATTATTGATGAAACTTGATGTTCGGCCAAAAGATCAAAAAAGGTCATCTTCCTCTTCATTATCCAAGATACTATCAGAAAGACTATCACATCTATATCATCCATAGGTGAATTGAAAGTCTCTCCATGGTGAGCCCACTTCGTATAACCAGTGTCTATCCCGTTGATTAATAGGTGTGCAAACAAACATCTTGAGACTGGCGCAACGCGTTTAGACATTGGTTGCAAGGACATCGAATGTCTTTATCAAGACCTATATTGTTCTCAACAAAGGACATGAAAGACCTAACTCCCTCCACATATTCTATACTGAACCTCCTTCCCTTCATCCATGATCTATCCATCCTATTACCAGAACATTAATTATACTTTACTATCAAAATATTATTTGAGAGAAAGGAGTAAAAAAGAAGGACAGTGAAGTGCATAGAGAGAGTGGGAGAGAGACAAAGGAGGGCAATGTGAAAGTTAGTTAGAGAGGCTTTAAGCATATAAAGTGTCGGTTCAGGGACTTAATAAAGAATAGAAAACCAGTGCGATAGAAAGGATCATTATAAGTATGAAATTTGCAGTTGAACCTATCAAAAACACATGTCAAGCACTACAGAGACTATCTTGAGCAAGTAACCAGATCTAACCTGTAACAAGATACTAGACCAAACAGCCTAAAGATCACCAAGATGCTAGCTTATCTCCCACTTTCTTCGGTGCTGTAAAAGCATGCAACTTAGTTATAAATGGAAGAATACAAGAAAAGAAAAACATAACAACCAATCTGCCTTTAGTTCCTACAAGTCCTAACTTCGGAAAGACTTTCGTTGTAAAGCTCTCATCCATGCCACTCATGTTATGATAGTTAATATCTTCATGCTTTACATACCAAATACATTGACTGATTTGTTTTGAATGTCTAAGACTAATTGTTATAAAGGAAAAGGAAAGCTCCAACAAAACAGAACAAGAAAGAATACTTGCAATGAGACACACCATGAGTTTAAGAGCAAAAACTACAAAGGAGATAGCAAAAGAAACTACAGCGTGCAATGTCATGAGGCCGCGGCCACATCCTTGTTCGTGGTAGGCGGCAAAGAGACTAGCATGATGGAATCCGTATAAAAGAGAAAGCCCATAAATGACACCAATAGAAGTAGTAACTAAGGAAAGCCACATCAGACACTGATGCAAAACAAGTTTGTATCATCAAAACACACTGAATCATCTTAATCTTAACAAAACAAGTTTTAAGCAAAAGAGTTGCATAATAAATAGACACCTCACTAGAACAGAGAAGGAAACCAAACAAGCACTGGTTAGGGAGAATCAGCACATAATTGAGGGACAAGAATCATAATTTC